ATCCCACTGCATATCCTCGCATACCACAGAGCTGTTCTCCAGGTGCTGGGCAGGAGCAGCCTGCACCGCTGCAGCGGCTCCCAGGCACAGTGTTGCCACTTTGGAGCTCCCACTTCTGCTCCAGAGGTCGGCAGAAAGTCTGTCCGTGACTGTCTTGCTCACTGAGAATCCTCAGGGAATCAACCAGATCACACCACACTCCTGCTGCCTTTGCCCTCGTACAGGCAGCCTCAGTACCTCTGTTACTCCTCACACCTTCAGCCTTGCACAGTTTTTTCTCTTCCTCTGTTTCTACTAAGTGGGTGGTTCCTAGAACCAGGTGGTTCCCCTTTACAACCAACAGACTTCGTTTTGAACGTGAAAATGAATGAAGCGTTTGATTTAAACTTGCTACATTTATACGTTTCCCTCAAAAATCTTTTAACCAAGGCTACCTGCAATGGCCTACACAGAGCACAAAATGTTTACTTGCAGAATGGGGTCAATTTTACCCAAGATAATGTCAGCACCATTTTCAGACTGTCCTTCCCCAATGCACCCTCCCCACTGCCATAACCAGGAGCACGCCTCTTACTCTCACCAAATCTCTTTCACATCCTGCTAAACACTTAGCATGCCTTTAATGCCCAAAGGACTTTGTGCATTCAGAATATGTTGTCTCTGACAAGCAGCTGTGGACAAGAAATGCATTTTAAAAGGAGCTTCCAGTAACCCCTGAGTGTATTAAGAATAAAAGACTTTTGTGAATAGATTGTAACTAATTGCTCCATTCAACAAAATAACATATTCCATGGTTTCAGCTTTAAAACCCATACAGGTTCCAAGATTCACATTAGATTCAACGGGAACCTCAGTCCCTTTCGTCGGCAATATTGATGGAAGCAAGGGTACACCAGATGAAAAAAAACAAACCACCAAACAAAATGAACTAGGGAAAAAACCTACTAAAATGAGACTTTATAGGAGTTTCTTTTAATTTTCATGTCCCCTTTTTTGACATATTTCTTTGAGGATCAAAGTGTCTAACTGTCCCATCTGAAATTGATTTGCTAGATAGATTAGTAATTTTGACAGCTACAAATATATTACTGCTTTTGAGCAAAACAATCTCTGAAATGTCAGGCTCTAGTTGTGTTTTTCGTTCTGCCCATGACAAACAATAGTTTATATCACAAATATGGAGAAATTTAAAATGATAAAAATTCTCATTTAACTGACAAGACACTTTTGTTCAGATTATGAGACTGTCTTTGCATTCAAACCTTCATAAAAATGAAGACTGGCAACTAATTTTTTAAAAATAATCATCCAATTTCTAAGTACAGAAAAGAGATCCCTTTGCTTTGTAGGTAACCAACATCTCTGTCTTTCAGAAAGCTCTTTTAGATCCACATTTTCAAAGTGGAGTTAGAAGAACAGAGACTCCAAATAAATATCTTTTCACAGAAATTTCCTAGATAAAGCAGGGCATCTACTGAAGCTAGGTGGCTGCAATTAAGTATTTCTCATATGAGAGATTATAGGTGCTTTTGAGAGCTCTAGGTCTAGATTTTACTTGTAAAATTGACTGGAAAAGAGCGTCACCACTTATGATTCATTTATATCAAATAGCTCAAGTGGGATTGAAAGGTCTGGGGAAGGTTTGAAACATTTTCTTTCCAAACAGGAAAATGTAAATTCAAATACCAGTAAATGTTTTCTCACTGTCTTTGACATACCTCAGATAACACAAGACATCATTCATCACGTAGCAAACAAAGTGAAAATTTTACCGAAATAACGTCGTACATTTTGAGATATGAGGAACTACTCTCAGCTGTAGGTTTGGATATGTGGGCAATTGATGAAACACTTCAATACTGAAAGATAAATGATTTGGTGAACATACACACCCTTAATTACATGAAAATGGATTACAGAAACTTGATACTGAAAAGACTGCGTAGACTCAGAGGAAAGGCTGAGCT